CACTTCACTTGGTGATATATTTGAGTATAACTATTGAGGTTTTGAAAATATTTATTCAGTTATTAGGATAACTTGCATGTTGAACACTCAGTGATTCCCAACGATCACTGCCACAGTTGATACATAACCCCCAGTCTCAGAGAAGCTAAGTTTGACGTCGTTGTTGTGTTGGTGTACAACGTTGTTGGGGACGTTGTACTCAAAGACCTCCCATACAGTGTCTTCACCAGGGCCGCTGTGGGTCTGTAGACCGTAGAAGGACGTCAGGGTGTGGCCGTTCACAACCACCGTCTTGAGTTTCTGATGGGGAGACTTCATGCTGAAACTGACACCAACTCTCAGACGAACAAAGTCAAGGTTGCCAATCCTCGGGACGTTAACTTTAACATCGACGACGGTGTTGTGAATGGGGACAACAATGTCGGTGGAGTAGTAGGTGTTCTGGGTCACAGTAGGAGCATGGGCAAAGTTGTGGGTTGTGTGGAACTGGAAGAAACAACTCGCTTCAGCAGGAACGGTTACCATGGAGTTAGTGACGTGAACTGGCTGGTTTGTTGCCAGCGTTGCTCTCTTCTGTGAATTCAGATATTCACAGGTGGACTTTCCACTTGTCGGATGGAACCAACCCTTGTCGAAAGAGAGCTTTACATGACTTGGCTTTTGGTCGTAGTTATGTAGAAGAATGGTAAGGCTGCCGTTCCGTTGATCAACTAAAACGTGAGGTACAATCTTTCTCACGGAGTTATGGAACTGACTGTCTACTCGCAAGTACGTCATTGTATCATAGAAGTTCTTCCAGAACCTGAAAGCTTGAGCAATGTCCCTCTCTTTGTGGGTCTTGTCCAGAATGCTATAGTTGATACTTGCTTGCCCTTGAAGTTCAGTATATGTGAGCAGGAAAGCTACCACTTTTCTCATGACATCCCGACGCTGTAGAAAGGTGAATATCTGGGCATTGTGTTGGTAAATGTACGCCCAGTCAAGAAAGGTGGATGGCTTCTGTACATCAAGTCCTGATACTGGACCGAGACCAAATTCACTGACTATAATATCCAACAATTTATTTTTCTTCTTGTGAGAGTAGCTCTCAACTAGATCCAGAAGTCCGAAAAGCTTAGCTTCGGAACTCCCATGGAAATGGTGTGAGCCTCCACTTACATCCATACTTGTGTAGGAATGAAATGAGAAAAAATCTAAATTGTTGAGACCCATATCCAAAAAGTCTGCATACCGATTCCAATTCCTAAAGTCATTACGATCAAACAAAATGGAAGCTCCAGTTAACGTTGGACCACCAACCCTTATATGGGGATATTTTGCCTTAATTTTCCGAGCAACAGCCTGATGAAATGTGATAAAGGTATTCCAGTCCGTGTTCTTCCATTGACTTTCTGGTTCATTGATGACTTCGAAGAACATAGGTGCTTGTCCTTTGGTTCCTTTGTTGACTGCATCGACCAGCAGGAAGACGAACTCAGCTGCAGCATCGATGTTGTTCGGGAAGAATCCGTGGTGGGCAGAGGTGTCCATCCAGTGAGGCCAAGTGACACCTGGATACAAACCAGGTGGGTAACGATAACACCAATAGACATAAGGCAACTGTTTGTAGCCCTCCCTCTTCTTTCTCTGATAGTTGTTTATATGAATAGAGACATGTAGGTATAGAGAGAGTGTGTGTGAGTGTGTGTGTGTGTGTGTGTGTGTGTGTGTGTGTGTGTGTGTGTGTGTGTGTGTGTGTGTGTGTGTGTGTGTGTGTGTGTGTGTGGTGGTGTGTGTGTGGTGGTGTGTGTGTGGTGTGTGTGTGTGTGGTAATGTGTGTGTGGTGGTGTGTGTGGTGTGGTGGTGGTGTGTGTGTGTGTGTGTGTGGTTGTGCTGTGTATGTGGTGATGATGTGTGGTGTGGTGGTGTGTGTGGAGCTACTTCCCGATCCCGATCTCAAACACAGTTTGTTTTACATGTAATATCCCCATTTTAATCGTGAGAATCTTAAACAAAATTTTCCGCTTGTCAATTGTGGAATTTGTTTAATTCCACCGTAACCATTCCTCTCAGCTATACAATCTTTCCATTGGATAATGAAAGACATGCTTGTATTCTCAACCTTCTGCAAATATTTTAACATATTTAAGAAATTGTCTTTAATTTAAACAAGATAAAAAACTGAATTACCCTTTATTTCCATGACAACTTCCGGATTGTGATATCCATTCATATTGTCCAAGTATTTGGTGCAGATTTCCTTTTGATGGGTCTGAAAGTACTTGGGGTCAGGGTAGCCCTTCTTGTTGGGGTTTTGAGATGCCTGCCATGAAATGGAATACAGTCTTAGTTATTCATAGTTACCTCATCACATTTAAAAACATTGTGGCTGGTAACAATGGTTTTGCTGAATGTTTCAGTGTTAGTTGAGACAGGATATAGTCAACAGTGTCAATGATGAAAGTGGTATAATATCAGTTCAAAGTTCAATGCACTATGTGTGACCCGTGAAGGTCCGGGTTAGAATACTGGCCTTCAGTGACCCATGCTTGTCGTAAGAGGTCACTAACGGGATCGGGTGGTCAGACACATGTCATCGGTTCCCAATTGCGCAGATCGATGCTCATGCTGTTGATCACTGGATGGTCTGGTCCACACACGATTTTTTACAGACCACATAGCTGGAATATTGCTGAGTACGGCGTAAGACTAAACTCACTCACTGCAATATGTGTAATTATTACGTCATTGGCCATCCTGTTACGATAGCGTGAACAATGTTGATGACACAACCGAGGGCAGCAACTGCCGCACAAGACGGGCTGTTTGGTTTGTGGTCAAAGTGCCTCTCAAATCGGAGATGAGCTTCAGGGAAAACACCGATGTTATGAGAGGACACAGGGTTAATAATGCGGAATCTCATATTACTGCAAGACGTCGGTGTGTCAAGAACGGCAGGATTAAGTCAATCGTCGTTGGACCAACGTTATGTATTCGGATTGATTAAAATTGAATTGGATGAATTGAACTAAGTTGATATTAGAAGTTTCATTAGGAATATGCATCGTTGAATGGGGGGATTTTCTTGAGGAGAACAGAGGTGGATTCACCCGATATTAATGGGTTTTGCTTTTCATAGGAAAGGACCTGATGGACAGTATGGCGTTTTGGCCACTCTAAGAACACAATCTATGGTCATGTGACGTTCAACGATGAATGCAAATCTCAGTCAGATGTTTCTGTGATACTGTTAAACTATTTATCTCATTAATGATATAAAATATCAATAGTTGTGGGACATTTTTATTGAATACCCCTGCTTGCTTAATCATTCATATCAAGAGGGCATAAAGGCAAAAAACAAACTTTGAGAAATAAGAGAATCTACATGCTGACGTCTGGTTTCAAATTGTACTCCCGGCATAGAAGCATTCGCTTAGAATCCACATATCTAAAACCACAATGTTGATCAGTTAAATGTACATAAATAAGAAAATAACTATACCGCTACCATGTGCTTATCCAGTACATCAATGTCCTACCTTCTCAAATAGTCCCCCTGCCATATCTCTGTTCAACCATCGAGCTGCCGTCGTTCCAACCTCCTTAACATGAGCAATACTTGCCGGTGAATCCAGTCCATTCTTACCATTCCATCGCCCGTGGTTGAAATGAGTAACGGCCCCAATCTTGAGAATTTCAGGATAAATGGACACTGTGTAATCACATGTTACACTTGATAGTAGACACACGAACAGTGCCAACCATTCCATCTCCACTGCTTTTACGTTAGGTATTAACTCCGTGCTAATCAGCTAATAGGACCTCTTATATACTTTCGTTGGAAAGAATGTTGCTATCTTATCAGCTGCACAATCCCCATTACAAATATAGACACTATTACACTAATAAGACACTAATGGAAGACGTATATATGTGATGTGATTTAGATTAAAACAACAAATAATTGTAAGTGTATTGTATAAATACGTTTATAGAGAAATGTACATTTTATACCCAAAAGAATCACTTGAAGTACATATATATAAAATTTTCAATTTGGCTTCTGTGCAAACAGATTCTACATAAATTCCTCACGACTGTAATTAGTAAGGAAATTAATCTTTGTACCAAAAGGCTAAAACAAAAATTGCACACGTTCCAATATTTGTTATCTTTGATTGTGTTAGTGCGACATGGTACTGGTATTGTGTCTTTATGTTTGGATAGTAGTTCCTTCCATTAACATTGTTACCATTTTCCACTGATCGCCAAAGTGATGGCGTTAATCCTGATTGGAATCATGCAGAAAGCAGAAGCAATTCTCTACGATCCCAAGTAATTTGGCTGGTGGTGGTCTGCAGTCTTGTTGTATTTAATCAAAGTCATACTGCTGACTTTTTTCGGATATATAGTCCGTTTGGGTTCAAATGAGAACGACAAATGATTAAATAACTCGAAATTGGGATAAGTGCACAAAACATAAATAAGGCAAACGTCTGTACCCAATAGTCCTTTTTTCGCGACGTCTGTACCCAACAGGATCCTAAATCTGACGTTTCTTTCACCAGAATGTGAGTTGATGGTCGATTAAAGATAACCAATGTGTGTGTGTGCGTGCGTGCGTGTGCGTGTGTGAAGCAATCTTTCTAGATACCTTAATACCTTAACCATTGTGACAAGGTCATTGTACCTCACCTTTTCGAGAATTGTGACCCTGGGAAACTCTTTTGATAAAAATGAGGTTTATGATTATTGTTAGATCAATTTTTAATTCATACATTTGTTGAGAGGCAGATGGACATGAACTGAACTGAACTGTTATTAATAGCCCTTTCTTATCAGTTACATAGATTTCAATAATGGCAAATTTTAAAATTTCAACATTTCTGTAAACATACAGATGTTTTGTTTTATTTTACATGGACCTAATGAAGTAACAAATTTCAGTACAAGTTTTAATGGTTTGGTGAGATTTATATCACATTCCATCACATTGAAATAAAGTAAAGTGCAACTTCTATGTTGTAACCGAATTTATTCAGTTATTGGGATTCAGTACACTAATCACCATCAGTGACTTCCAACGATCACTGCCACAGTTGATACATAACCCCCAGTCTCAGAGAAGCTAAGTTTGACGTCGTTGTTGTGTTGGTGTACAACGTTGTTGGGGACGTTGTACTCAAAGACCTCCCATACAGTGTCTTCACCAGAGCCACTGTGAGTCTGCAGAGAATAGAAGGACGTCAAGGAGTGACCGTTCACAACCACCGTCTTGAGTTTCTGATGGGGAGATTTTATGCTGAAACTGACACCAACTCTCAGACGAACAAAGTCAAGGTTGCCAATGTTCGGGACGTTAACTTTAACATCGACGACGGTGTTGTGAATGGGGACAACCATGTCGGTGGAGTAGTACGTTTTCTGGGTCACAGTAGGAGCATGGGCAAAGTTGTGGGTTGTGTGGAACTGGAAGTAACAACTCGCTTCAGCAGGAACGGTTACCATGGAGTTGGAGACGTGAACTGGCTGGTTTGTAGCTAGAGTTGCTTTCTTCTGTGCATTCAGATATTCACAGGTGGACTTTCCACTTGTCGGATGGAACCAACCCTTGTCGAAAGAGAGCTTTACATGACTTGGCTTTTGGTCGTAGTTATGTAGAAGAATGGTTAGGCCGCCGTTTCGTTGATCAACTAAAACGTGAGGTACAATCTTTCTCTCGGAGTTATGGAACTGACTGTCTACTCGTAAGTATGTCATTGTATCATAGAAGTTCTTCCAGAACCTGAAAGCTTGGGCAATGTCCCTCTCTTTGTGGGTCTTGTCCAGAATGCTATAGTTAATACTTGCTTGCCCTTTAAGTTCAGTATATGTGAGCAGGAAAGCTACGGCTTTTCTCATGACATCCCGACGCTGTAGAAAGGTGAATATCTGGGCATTGTGTTGGTAAATGTATGCCCAGTCAAGAAAGGTGGATGGCTTCTGTACATCAAGTCCTGATACTGGACCGAGACCAAATTCACTGACTATAATATCCAACAATTTATTTTTCTTCTTATGAGAGTAGCTCTCAACTAGATCCAGAAGTCCAAAAAGCTTAGCTTCGGAACTCCCATGGAAATGGTGTGAGCCTCCACTTACATCCATACTTGTGTAGGAATGAAATGAGAAAAAATCTAAATTGTTGAGACCCATATCCAAAAGTCTGCATACTGTTTCCAATTCCTAAAGTCATTACGATCAAACAAAATGGAAGCCCCAGTTAACGTTGGACCTCCAACCCTCATATGGGGATATTTTGCCTTAATTTTCCGAGCAACAGCCTGATGAAATTTGATAAAGGTATTCCAGTCCGTGTTCTTCCATTGACTTTCTGGTTCATTGATGACTTCGAAGAACATAGGTGCTTGTCCTTTGGTTCCTTTGTTGACTGCATCGACCAGCAGGAAGACGAACTCAGCTGCAGCATCGATGTTGTTCGGGAAGAATCCGTGGTGGGCAGAGGTGTCCATCCAGTGAGGCCAATACACACCTGAATATGTATTATCAAACCTATGAATTAGAGTGAGCAGGGTCTAACTCCACTTTCAACAGTTGATTAAATTGTCATATTTCAACAGGCAATACATTCAATACTCAACATCCAGCAGTATCACCGTAATAACAGATGAGAAAAGGGTTATAGAATTGCTGAGAATACGTAGATTAAAAAGTACACAACCGCTCGTTATATACACATGGAACTTAATTAAGCAACCCCTAATGTATTTCATCATAGTGATGTACCTATCGACGATGATAATATGTCGATGATGCCACTGTTTAGTAGCACACTTCAGGCAATGAAAACAAGGTTTCAGTTTGAAAGGGTTTGCCAAAACGCAGCACACGCTTGTGAAGCATACTGTCCAGTCACATCGTGAAAAGCGGCATCTCTGCCTGGTCGTTCAAGTGTATAAAACCTTTGATATGATAGGTCTGTGTATTGGCAAATAGATTCAGGTACCCGTATTGCGATACGTATTGCGACTTATTCGAAATTAAGTGTTAGACAGTAAGTGACACTAATTGTACATGCCTATCCTATTTTCTACATTATAACAGTCTAAGTAAACTTACCCGAAGTAAACTTAGACTCAGTATTATTCGTTACACTGCTATACTGAGTCTCACAGAACCTAGTAGAAGGTCGCGTCAGGTAACCTTTCCAATTGACCAATCAGAACACAGCTTACCAAATCGCGAACTTTGAACCTTTTACCTCGAAAAGTTTGTACCCGAACGATTCCGAATGCTATTTTCCGTACGATCGGTTCGTAGTGATGCACGCCACAGCAGTAGGTAAACATTCGCTGAAAATAGCATTTGTCAGTATTCAAGCATGTCAACTTGAGGAAATATTAGCTTATGATAACCATGTCAACAGGAACCCCAAAGCGCATATACTGCAGGTCAAATATATGTGTTTTATGCGGATTTTCGTTTGTTGGGAGATCAGTGTTGGCGACCGGGGACGGGAAAATCCATTTTGTAAGTCTCGCCGAACCCTAAATAGTAGCCGTTGGCTGACTGGTTAAATCCGTTCGGCCGTCTCGCTTTTGATTGGACGGTCATAGGTCCATCAAAGGTTACCTGACGCGACCTTCCACAAGGTTTTGTTAGACTCAGTATAGCAGTGTAACAAATAATACTGAATCTAAGTTTACTTAGACTGTACATGATAAGTCCCTAAAAAAATATATGTTATGGTTCTGAAAAAAATATTGCAATACATATCTTCTGAAAAGCGTATTACGGTATACCGGTAAACCGGTAATACCGGTAGTGCTAGAACATGCCATCTGTTTCATCCATACACAAGTGAACACATTCGTTGACATAGATGTCAGCTTGGTTCTGGTTACTGCCATTCTGTCGTCCGAAGACCTATCCGGAAACACCAACTCACATCGGTATATTTAAAGAGGCCTACACAGACAGCAAAATCCGGCACTATGTCAGCATGAGTGGTGCCAGGACAATGCAAATCAACAGTGTTGGCATTTCTCACGTACAGAGCATACAAATCAACATATACATATTTCCGACTACAGAAGATTATAGTTTGGCATGAAATGCCTTTACCTTTATGACCCAACACTGCCGCTGTTACAGGTCATTGGCTCCCTACCTCTGCAAGCAGTCTGCGGTCTGCTGTTTATTTTGTTGACAGTTACATAGACAGATTCTTTAATACAAATGCATAAAATCGGCGATTTACAATGTGATTAGGTTGTCTGACAAAACATCCACTTGCACAGTTTGAGATCGATTGGGTCATTGGATGAAGAGATATTTACAAAAAAACGGGTCCACATGCATTTCATGCCAAACTATAGTATGGCAGGGGTATATTATCTCAAGAGACATTCCTCCACCCATTTATTCATTTGGGTGTTAATGTTGAAATACCTTTTATTTCCATGACCATTTCTGGGTTTCCGTATCCATTCATAACGTTTAAGTAATTGCTGCTGATTTTATTTTGATTCGCCTCGAAGTACTTCGGGTCAGGATAGCCCTTCTTGTGGGGGTCCTCAGGTGCCTGTCATGAAACGTGATAGAAGGTTAGATAGTCATTATGTGTGTCTGAAATGAGACAATAAGTTTGGTAATCTAATGAACTTTGGGATAAGCCATTAAATGAAAGGGTGCAGGAGTGACGCTGACCCTGACACAGCAATTCAAAATGCAGAAATACGTCCCTTGACTGACTGACTGACTGAGTTTAGTTTAACGCCGCTTTTAGCAATATTCCAGCAATATCACGGCGGGGGACACCAGAAATGGGCTTAACACATTGTGCCCATGTGGGGAATCGAACCCGGGTCTTCGGCGTGACGAGCCAACGCTTTAACCACGGGGCTACCCCACCGCCCTACGTCCGTTGAGCACGCCAGAAACCTATGGTAACAATCCATGTGAACAACATAACCTGTTCGTCTAAAACATTCTTTCGGGTTTCTGGACATGTGAACAACATAACCTGATCATGGGTATCATCAAAGATCTGTAAAGCACCAAATAAAACATTCCTCCCATATCAAGCCAGTCACGCTGTATGATGTCCATGGATATTATTATTCACTCCGTGGTAACATCATCTTCAATTCAGCTGTTTAAATGAAAATGGTAACAAAAATCGCACCTCATGGGTCGTATGGCACTAAACTTCCAAGGGAAGACACTCATTTTAAGGGAAGACAATTAACAATTCTCATTAAAGTTTCAGAAACAATATAATGTGTCTTACCTTCAAATAACCCATTTCCCAAATCTCTGTTCAACCATCTGGCTGCGGTTGCGCCAACTCCCTTGACAAGAGGAATAGTTGTTGAGCTGTCCAGTCCATTCTTACCATTCCATCGCCCGTGGTTGAAATGAGTAACGGCCCCAATCTTGAGAATTTCAGGATAAATGGACACGGTGTAATCACACCTTGCGGTTGATAGAATACACACGAAAAGTGTAAGATATTTCATCTCTGCTGCTATCACGATAGATATATCAACAAACAAGAGAATCAGTGACAATCAGCTAACAAGGCTGTATCTTATATACATATATAGGAAAGAATGTTGCTATCTTATCGGTTGCACAATCCCAATTCCACTGTAAATATAGACTTTGAAACCTTAAAATATACCCGAGTGAGATTAAAAGCTGGTTCTATTTGAATCTAAAAAGATATATTTTATGAGAAATACTAGTTTAATGAGATTATATCAGCTTTTTATTGTACAACTAGGACCCCAGAGGAATACTAGTAATTTTGAGGTGAGGTGAGGTGAGGTGAAATTAGGTTTAACGTCGGTGCTTGAGAATATTTCGCTCATATGACGACGTGCATGCGTGTGTATATGTATGTGCGGCTGCTTGTACTAGCCCAGACTTAAGCTGGTTTTATAGTGCTAGCCCACTGAGATACCATGCCGCAGTGAAGCATGAATACCCCACTCAGACACATTATACTGACTCGAGCTGATCTTCAGTCCTTGTTGTACCCATTAATGCCGAGTGCCAGGCAGGGACCAACAAGTACCATATTTTAACGTCTTTTGGTATGATGCGGCCGGGGAAATTAATTTTGAAGTATTATCAACAATGATTAGAATACCTTTTCAAGAAACTTGTTTCTGATCCTCAGGTTTAACTGAATAAAATTAATCAAAATCCATTGAGTTGTGTTTTCTTACGTCCACATTGTCTTCCCATGCGCTATCCGAAGGAGTTGACTCCCCCGGTAAGCACGGGACACTTCATTAATTTTCCTAATGGACATTTAGTGAAATGTACTCTGGGAATCCGGTGAAGGGTAGGTTTTAAATCAAGTGTTAGAGGTAGTATTCTAAAACCTATTATCACTGTTGATAATACTTCCCTCTGACACTTGATTTAAAGGCCTGCCCATCCTTGATTAGTCGAATCCCACAGCCGAGTTTCCCGGACTAGACTAGGAAGACAAGCATATATCTTACAAATCAAATTTGATAAGACAAATAGACTGGCGTTTGCTTGTTTTGACAACTCTCAAGTCTCATGCAGCTGTACTTAATGACTTGGTGGACTATGATGCAATTCTTGGTTAATGATCAATCAGATGATGACACAGTGAGTTCGGATGACGTCACGATGACATCACTCCCGGTCCGTATCTCGTCCATTCCAAGGAGGAACAAGTGTTATTTCTGATTGGATATGACTCTCTTCGCATTTTAGTCGTAGTCTACCATTTGAGGTGTTAGACTCAACTGTCGGCAAAAGAGGTTATACCCCTTGTGCCGTTAACCCCTGTCTGGCATAGGAGCTAGAGAATGGATAATGGACACTCGTTCTCACGGGCATACTTCTGATTCTTAGTCAGGAACTCAGGTAATCCTCTGATCGTGACGTCTAGGGGCATTCATAGGGAATGTGATGGCCCTGGCATCCCGTGCATACAGCTCTGACACCTTTGAAGCTATTGCCAGGACCATAAGGACTACAGTCTTCCAAGCAAAATGAGACAGTGTTCCTTTGTTCAGTGGTTCGCACGGATGATACTAAAGTACTACATTACATTTCATATGTATTCGCTGTTTTGGGGATATCATCCAGTTCAAAAGAGCTTAACATGCTGGTAAGTATAGGGTCTTTCCAAATAGTGGGACTGATGCAAGAGCCAAGCGATAACCTTCAAAAGGTCCATGCAGAAGATGTAAGTCGTTTCTAAGATGTATTAGAAATTCTGCAATCATGATCTCATCTGATTCCCAACTGCTGGAATCGACGACACTTGTAGTCATAGAGACCAGATGTCAAAGGTCTAAGTGATTGAGAAACGGCTAAGGAAACCCCTTTTGAAAATCCGTCTGACATTTAGATATCATTGGATAGTTCTCACACGTGTATAGTCCGTTTGGCTCAAAAGCGGACCGATGAATTGCAATCTAACTCGAAAACTAATAACATATAATACTCAATGAAACGCTGATCATAACCAAAACATCAGACCAACTCTGTGATTTGTTTGCAGAATTTATGTCCTAAAAAATTTTTTAAAAACTATCATTAAAATATTGACACAGTTCTCTATCTGTTACGAGGGAGGAGTGCAAAGAAAGGGACATCCAGGTGTGCGAGAAAGGATGGAGACGGCACAGCACAGGTTAATGGGTCTGTTATCATCGTAAAGAGCCACGGAATTATGGCTATTCTAACTGGTAAGACCAAGAAATGGAACAGTCTTCCCTTAACAGCAATGCGTAGATATTTCTGAGAGTCTGTGTTATATGCATACCTAAGCATCCTGCAGATCTATGGAGACCATGTGGTCCTGTATGGAGATCGACTGTCTCAGGTCCCACATAGACTTCATCCGAAACTTTGGTGGTCGTCTCAGGTAGTCCTGGTTGAGGATCTTCAAGTGGATCTCTGTTGTACCAGAGAGAAGAACCAGAGTCCTGGATCTGCTGGGTTTAGTTCGATGACAGCTTCCTTGTCCATGAGTTTGTAAATCGCTGTCATCACCTCTGGAACGTCAATTCAACTTGGTGTTACGTTTTCCTTGCCCATAAGGACTTGCAATCTCCAGTTTAACTGAGGATGGATCATCAGCTGCATCATTCTCAGCATCTTCCTGACGCCAAAGATAAACCAGTAGTTAAAATCTTGGATATACGTATGAAATTTCTGATTATCTACTCCTGCATGGAAAGAATGCCAGTTACGTCAGCATGTATGACCCATTGCTTAGGTGGTGGCAGATTCCACTGACCTAGCCTGCAAAGTTCATTTCAACCTTTCTGACTCCAGTTCTGTCTTTCTTTCTCAAACAGGATCCAGCCACCTTCCAACGTCTCATCAGGGACAAAACAGGCAGGCATCACAGTACATCACTCATAAGGGCATCGGTAACTTCTTGGAGAGATTCTTGTGCCAAGCTGACATGCGCAGTGTGGAAAATTTCAAATGTGTAACAATTCTTATCATATTAGTTGGTAAAAGACACAACCAAGCCCTTATGCCTATAATGACTGCACTTGAATTTGAAAACATAGATTCCTCTTGTATGATTTTGTAGATGTATTATTCTGCATTTACTTTACCAGGTTCAAACATCATGACTTTGGCTAACTGCCATTAATTCAGTTTAGTGTACAAACACCAAACCTATCAGACTAAGAAATATAAACTGTGTACCACAAATAAGAGCTGGTGTAAAATTGTTGTAGTTTTCTGACTGCAGCATTTAAGAACGCTATAATACATAAGAACTGCCATGGAAATGGTGTGAGCCTCCACTTGCATCCATACTTGTGTAGGATGTAAGTCTAAATATCTAAATGGTTAGAACTATGTCCAAAAGGTTCTGCACACCGTTTCCAATTTCTAAAGTAATAACGGTCAAACAAATTGGAAATAAAACTTATGCATCTCAAATAAGAGCTAGTGTAATATGGTTGTTGTTCTTCTGACTGCTGCATTCAAGAACGTTACGATAAAGTGAGTGAGTGAGTGAGTATGGTTTTACACCGCTTTCAGCAATATTCCAACAATATCACGGCGGGGACACCAGAAATGGCGTCACACACATTGTACCCATGTAGGGAATCGAACCCGGGTCTTCGGGTCTAAGCAAACGCTTTAACCACTAGGCTACCCTCCGCCCCTTACGATACACAAGAACATAGGTACATAAGGTATTAAACAGTAAACGAAGGATATTTAGAACATTCCATGCCCATGTGCATGACTTATTGTCATTCCAACGGTGAACATGTCATGCTTGTGTGCATGGTGTATTCCACCTTTTTAATGACGGTCTGTTAAGAAAGGGTGGACAAGGCAATCCACTGAATCATATTATGAGCATTGTATGTTGACACACCATAAACAGTGCCACAGAGCCTGAGTACCCAACAGATTTGGCCTCTTACGACCACCATATTTTGCTAGGGGGAACTTCAGATGTGGAATCCCTTATTCGGTGCCAAACATATAAAAAACTATGTCAGGACGAAATATTTAAGAAAAGTTCCAATGCGGGATCTACATATTGATATCTTGTTCTCCTTGGCTGTAATATGCATGTTCAAGCCTGTGGACTTCATCAAAGAGGTAAATGAATAAGACTCATTCACTTAAAGCTTAGATGCAACCAAAAACATAAACATAGTTAAAACACAATTATCATTTATTCATGACATATAAAATACATTGCTGATTATGAAAAAAAAAAAATAAACAAAATTATAAGCGTACAATCGCAAATCAAAAGTGCAATATTTGGTACTAGGGTTTACTTCACTCGAAACGAAGCACCCAGGATACCGAATCCAGTCAGAGCGGGTGGGCGTGCACTTAAGTGTAATGAAGTCTTTCATTGGCTGGTTCCTTTGCCGATACACTCAGGGCTCTTTGTGTGTGTATAAAAATGTTGGGTTTTGTAAATACATGCTTATTTTTGTGTATAACATTTTGCAATCAACAAACATCATAAGATGTCATGTGTACAATTATCACACTTGCCTGTCTGTGTAATTACATAATGCGACAGAGACAGAACTCGGGTGCACGAGCCATAAATCAATGCGTTTTTTTTATGGTGAAAAGCCTGATAGGTGTTTAGTTCAAATTGCCTGTGGTTAGTGATGGAAGTTGTATATTGTATATTATCATTAGCAGACAGGCAGGCAGACACACAGGTGTCAATAAAACAGACATTGAGTTTTGTCTGTGACAGAGGCATATCTATATCACAGTTAGAAATTCTGACAATGCTAAATATTGACGTGCTTTTAAGTATCGAAAGTGACTCGGTAAGAAGAACGTGTGGTGAAATAGTCAAATGAAATTATATACACAGTTAAATCGGTAATCTATTGTCATAACATATAAAAAGCTCGCGCCTGTGAAATAACAACAATACATTCGAAAAATAGCTCACATCAAAGCCTTCTCTGAGTACTCACCGACAGTGAAGGTCTTCCGTCTTGAAATGTCGAACAACTCACTGGTTGACACATAACTGAGTAGATCTAGATCCTTAACAAGGTTCTTTTATGTAACAAGTAGATTGTTTACTATTTGTTGTTTGTGTACACAACTAAGATTAGACTACTGCTGCTCACGACTTTACAATTCGGGCATCCCGCTTTAAGCTGCGCGAACCTATTCACTGCGCATGCACTATAAGCGCAGCGCAGAACAGCCGTTGAAACCACTTTTCACCCCAGGTGGGGTGAATTTAGTGAATCGTTTGAACATCCGATTTCGCGGGGGGGGGTTTCATCATATCGAAAGTCCAAGTCCATACCGAAAGGTATCAGAATCTGCAAAATTGTGTTTTGCGTTGCATGTGACCATCAAAGAGATCAAGACTGCATGACCACTCCCTATGTATCTGAGTATTTTTGCACTCACTTTGGGTGAATTGGTTTTTTTTAATGATTTAGAACAAGTCTTGGCACTGGCATTAATATCAATATCAGTTTTTCAGGTACGTGCCATTCATAGTGTATACATTCAACACCTTCAACACTCATAACCAATGTCGTACATGTATCTAGATGTACTTGCTACATATAATATGTATTTCATGGTGTGAAAAAGTTAGTACAAATATTCAGTTTTTATAATATTAAGATTTATTCAATCAGTGGGATTCCTTACATGAATAACCGTCAGTGACTTCCAACGATCACTGCCACAGTTGATACATAACCTCCAGACTCAGCGAAGCTCAGTTTGACGTCATTGTTGTGTTGGTGTAGCAGGTTGTTGGGAACGTTGTACTCAAAGACCTCCCACACAGTAGCCTCATCCGGGCCATTGTGGGTCTGTAGACCGTAGAAGGACGCCAAGGAGTGACCGTTCACAATCACCGTCTTTAGTTTCTGATGGGGAGACTTCATGCTGAAACTGACACTTACCCTCAGACGAACAAAGTCAAGGTTGCCAATGTTCGGGACGTTTACTTTAACATCGACGACGGTGTTGTGAATTGGGACAACAATGTCGGTGGAGTAGTAGGTGTTCTGGGTCACAGTAGGAGCATGGGCAAAGTTGTGGGTTGTGTGGAACTGGAAGTAACAACTCGCTTCAGCAGGAACGGTTACCATAGAGTTGGAGACGTGAACTGGCTGGTTTGTAGCTAGAGTTGCTTTCTTCTGTGCATTCAGATATTCACAGGTGGACTTTCCACTTGTCGGATGGAACCAACCCTTGTCGAAAGAGAGCTTTACATGACTTGGCTTTTGGTCGTTGTTATGTAGAAGAATGGTGAGGCTGCCGTTCCGTTGATCAACTAAAACGTGAGGTACAATCTTTCTCTCGGAGTTATGGAACTGACTGTCTACTCGCAAGTATGTCATTGTGTCATAGAAGTTCTTCCAGAACCTGAAAGCTTGAGCAATATCCCTCTCCTTGTGGGTCTTGTCTAGGATGCTGTAGTTGATGCTTGCTTGCCCTTTAAGTTCAGTATATGTGAGCAAGAAAGCTACCAGCTTTTCTCATGACATCCCGACGTTGTAGAAAGGTGAATATCTGGGCATTGTGTTGATAAATATATGCCCAGTCAAGAAAGGTGGATGGTTTCTGTACATTAAGTCCTGATACTGGACCAAGACCAAATTCACTGACAATGATATCTAAGAATTTATTTTTCTTCTTGTGAGAGTAGCTCTCGACCAGGTCAATAAGTCCAAAGAGCTTAGCTTCGGAGCTCCCATGGAAATGGTGCGACTCTCCATTTACGACCAAACTTGCATAGGAATGAAATGAGAAAAAATCTAAATGGTGGAGACCCATATCTAAAAAGTCTGCATATCGTTTCCAATTCCTAAAGTCATAACGGTCAAACAGAAGGGAAGCTCCAGTTAACGTTGGACCACCAACACTCATATGGGGATATTTGGCCTTAATTTTCTGAGCAACAGCCTGATGAAATTTGATGAAGGAAGTCCAGTTTGTGTTCTGCCATTGAGCGTCGGGTTCATTGATGATTTCGAAGAATGTAGGTGCTCGTCCTTTGGTTCCTTTGTTGACTGTGTCGACCAGCAGAAAGACGAACTCAGCAGCAGCATCGATGTTGTTGGGGAAGAATCCGTGGTGGGCAGAGGTGTCCATCCAGTGAGGCCAGTTCAACCCTGAATATAAAACAACAGGCCTGTGAATTCGAGAGAGTTGGGTTTAACTCCCTTTTTAACAACTGATTAAACTATGAAAATATTGCAGCTTATTCGTCAACAAGCAATATATTTAATACTGTATACACAGATTAGAAACATGGATTGTAATTGCTGAAACTATTGAGAATCAAAACTCAACGCTCTACCGTTCTTAATGTTTTTTCAATTAACAGAGTCTTATGGACATATGACTGTGCATTCAGACTTTCGTAAAAGCTAGGTCACTCTTAAATGTAGTTTTAAGCTTTCTTGACAAGAATGGGAATTGACATTTCGAAACAGTCATTCAATATAATTGAATAAATAACCTTGGTCGTTATTTGAAAATTAGGACCGTTTATCGTCCATCAACACCTGTTTGAACCGCTCTTAGATCCCGTATAATTTTATGCAATGTAAAGGAATTTTGATCGGTAATTTTCGTTGGGAGTCTTAAGATGGGCTTAAAAGGCTAACCGAAGAGAAACATACATACGAATGTGTATTGACCACTTTATATGGCACATCTAGCTATATTCAAGGCGTTTCACACTAGTGGTGGAAAATAGGGCCTCGTGTGTTTACCACAGAATAAATTGGAAGCTGCATCTTCACGGGCGTGGAAACTGGAAGTTTGATATTTGGCATGATTCTGTAACATTCTGTTGTTCTTTGCTATCCCAGTTACATCTGAGACAGCGAACATGTGTCCCCTTCTATGAACAACGTCAAACATATAAGGCATATTATGATTTATCATAAACTAAGTAGGTTTCTCGACAACACAAAGCCAGCGGACAAGAACACTCTTCATGGGAACTACAGTATATGGCTTGTGGTCACTGTCGCATTGACCAATCACTGACCTTGCAAGAAAAATTATTTGTGAAATCAATTTTCAGTTCTTCAAACTAATTACATTCTTCAAAATCTCAAAATTAGGTATGTTCCCAGTCGTCAGCTTATTGACTGTTTAGCAATATGCTGGCTCATCACAGGGGCAAAGAAAAGCTTCATAGGTGTACTAGTGTAGGAAATATATCCATCACCACTCACAGTACCTACCCATACACATTAGATTAGTTTTTTCCGATTACAGAAAATTAGAATCACATGGCACTATAGGGCTGGCTAAAATATCGATAATCGGAAATATCGTCAGGGAAAAATTATCAAAGACTATCGATATGAAGATAGTGTAATCGATGATATCGGACATAAACCTTAAAGTTTTAGTTTACTCACACAATACACAAAGTTAGGTTTTTAATCATGGTCTGTTTCTAAATTGTGTTCAGGACGCTGCTCGTTAGTAACCCAGCATAAACATGTCGCCATTCACCAGAGGTGTGACATATATTCACCAGAGGTGTGACATATTCACCAGAGGTGTGACATATTCACCAGAGGTGTGACATACATTCACCAGAGGTGTGACATATTAACCAGAGGTGTGACACATATTCACCAGAGGTTTGACATATATTCATTTCTTTCTACCGCCATATAACTGGAATATTGCTGAGTGCGGCATAAAACTAAACTCACTCACTCTTTCTGATATTTTTTTCATCTTTGCTGAAAGTAACTTATCCGATATTTATCGATAATCAAGTTAGTTAACGATTATCGATCTCTATCTTCTATATCGATATCCCGAGACACACTCCATTGAAATACCTTTTACTTCCATGACCATTTCAGGGTCGCCGTATCCATTCATAACGTTTAGGTAATTGTAGCTGATTTTATTTTGATTCGCCTCGAAGTACTTCGGGTCAGGATAGCCCTTCTTGTGGAGGTCCTCAGGTGCCTGCCATGAAACGTGATAGAAGGTTAGATATCCTTCTTGTATGTCTAGAACGAGTCAGTAAGTGGGATTGGGTGAATGAGTAATTGAGCCATTTTAAGGGCGTTCTCAGCTGCCTGACATGAATAATTTAGGAGGGTTAGTTTGTCAGCCTGTACGTCTTGGGTGGGTGAGGAAGTTTGATTTTATTCTACATTATCAATACTATAGTAATATAACGTCTTACCTGTTCAAATAGTCCATTTCTCAAATCTCTGTTCAACCATCTGGCTGCTGTTGCGCCAACTTTCTTCACATAAGGAATAGTTGTGGGGCTGTCCAGTCCATTCTTACCATTCCATCGCGAGTGTCTGAAATGAGTAACTGACCCAATCTTGAGAATTTCAGGATAAATGGACACGGTGTAATCACATCTTACGCTTGATAGTATACACACGAAAAGTGTCAGCCATTTCATCTCTACTGCCTTTAAAATAGATATTTTGCCAAACCAGACAATCAGTGCCACTTTTCTGACATATATAGGAAAGAATGTTGCTATCTTATCAGCTGCACACTCCTCACCGTAACTATAGTCTTTTTATCCGTGAAAGAACTCCAGCGTTAGCTTAAAGCTAATTCGTATTTAGATCTGAAAATTCACATTCTGTGAGGCAAGCTAGTATACAGTTAATGGTAGCACAATATTTCCGTTCAGGACAGGATACTGGTGTGCATGTCACTATATTTAGCTGGTTTGGGTGTCAAGAGTTGCCTGGAATCTTCTACATCAGCAGGACTGTTCCTGCAGATACATTTCTGGAAGCTGTCCAATACTTCATGAAGGGGGAAGCACCTGCCTCAAGCTCGTAACATTACATCAAACCCAGCGGTTGTGTGAGATCATATTATCACCCTGGATATCTAGCCAAGACTGGACATCTAGCCTATTTTGGAAGATTGACTAATGTTGCTGCTAAATGAATATCATTATTACTGACTTTCTTGCTTTTGTAAAACAGACATGACAGTTTGTTGTGCTGAAAGAGAACTATCTTTCGTACCCATTGCTAGCAAAGGTTTGCTGTCAGCAAAATGCCACAGTTGCAGTGTTAAGCCCATTACTATTTTTGCTTTGGTTGTTTTTTTGTTCCCCATCTTGGGTGGTATGTTGCCGTTTTCTGAGGAGACTTTACCAGGGTGCCTTTTTGCTAATTTGGTGGGTAGACAGACAGACATTGTATTCAGAAAAAGGCCATACCTACATATGGCAGGTGTACATATGATTTACTCAAGTAGAAATATATATGCAAACTGATGATTGTATATATTACTATATACAGAAAATGTTTTTAGAAGAGTTACAAACGCAAAACGTTGAATTATATAGTATATGTAGTTGACACTACGTTTTGCTTTAGTTGCTGAGGTTTTATAGGGGAAAACAACAGTGTTGTACATATCATTAATTACGATTAAATAATGTTAAGAAATGGAAGTAACGTACTTATCTATTAGTGCATCACGTAAATTAAATTTCTATAATAGTCACATAGTAATATACTGAACAAAAACTAAAGAATCTCTACATATGGAGAATTGAATTATTTTGAAAATGGGAGTACAAGGTAGTTCATATGGGCGAATACCACAATGTCCAGATCTGACATGACGCATCCGCCCATGTCAACGTGATGGACCATATTATTATATGGAATTTGTTTGCAATTCGATGTTTAGTTGGCACTGTGACAAGCGTGACAAAATCATGTTTAACTGAGTGGATAAAAAGCATTTATATAACGTTCAACGTTAAGAGAGATTTAAACTTTGGCTTTTTTTAATAAAGGCATTTAAACCCTGATATCATGACTGATCCTGTCACGTGCTTTTGAGAAATTGACAAAGAGGCAGTAAAGTCTCCCCTTGTTGGCCTGCATATACTAGTCTCTGTATTATTGTTAGCTAAATATATTACCAATAGTTGAGCAGTTCGGTCTAAAGTCTGTTTGTCGTTCATTAATTATCCTATATTTATCACAAACAAATCGGCAGTCCTGAGTTACGAATGGAAGTACATATTCTACACATGGTATCAGTCGAACCCGCGAAGATCCGGGTTGGAACTGATCTTCAGTAACCCATGCTTGTCGTAAGAGCGACTAACAGGATCGGTTGGTCAGGCTCGCTGACTTGGTTAACACATGTCATCGGTTCCCAATCGCATAGATCGATGCTCATGCTGTTGATCTCTGGATTGTCTGGTCCAGACGCGTTTATTTACAGACCGCCGCCATATAGCTGAATATTGCTCAGTGTGGCGTAAAATGAAACTCACTCTTTCACTGGTATCAGTAGATGAAGTAGTGGTTGGCATCATTTGGCCAGATTTGGAGAGAGGGCAAATAACACTTCTGTTCCAAGCATTTGGAAACACGACACTGTGAGTGATTTGGGATATCCCCTCGATTCAATTAAAATCTGTTTTTGTGGAATCTGCTGAATCAGCTGTTTTTAAGTATAAATGGGTTAGTGCCAAGTTTAATGTATTGAAATCTAATAAATAGTCAGTAACTTGACTTAAAGAGTCTTACTGAAACCATGCTGACAGTAAATTTAGTGGAACATCAAGGCACATGTTAGAGGACATGTCATAGGCCAACGTCAGTTACAGGCTCTTTGGTTAAAGGAGGAAGTTATTTGAAAATCCTCAGTTCCCAGAACTAGTCTGCACATGTCTGGTCTCTTTCTTTAAACCCTTACTCAATTGTTGACAAAAATTAATTCATTGAGCAAAAGGGATAGAGCAGTTTCACGCCATTGTCATGTATAGTTCTTTTCTCAAAGACTTAAATTTTGTCAAACCTTTCTCAGAGATGCTGGTGACATTGGGGAGATAGCTGTCCTGTCAAGTAGCCACACTGTTTTATTATTTAAGTTTGCAGCAATTTGCCGTTCTGTTGTTTGTTGTTCAAGTGTGTACTGATTTTAATCCTCTAACTTTTCTGCATACAATGGACAGTAAAGGAGCACGAATTTGATTTGAACATCAAGCATATCTTAAGCAAAGATAACATAACGACTGATGCATTATCTAGATGTTCGAATATGTTTAATTTTAATTGCAAACGTGCTTTGTTTTGTTTTGTAAATGTATCTCTCATATACATTGTATAATGTTTGTTATTACTAAGAGAGTTTAATTGGCAAGGTCAAAGTCTCACTGTGTTCAAACCATCTTCCTTCTAAAGTGGAGAGTGTTGTTGTAATTGCTTAAGATTGTTTGCTTAAGATTCAGTAGAGGACAGTGGGTTCATTTTACGCACATGTGAGGATATGTATTAGTATATCGCGTGTTGGTAATTGTCTATAACGTCACTCTGGACTTTAGCTGACTACATCCACAAGTTTGAAGATCGTTTTCGGTGCAAAATCAATGAGCGCCACACTTGCTCATTGTCAAGGCCATTAAGGCCTATAGCTTTCAAAATGTTTCAGGGTAGACATGTTGAGGACATTTCCAAATTTGATGCATCAATGACAAAAATTATGTCCGATGCAATTCCTGGTTTTGATTTGTACCATAGATTTCCGATTTGTTCAGATGAAAAACTGACCAGCCTTTGCATATGATTAAGACGTCTCGAGCACTTGAACGCTATGGGCAATTGCTGACCCTTTGTGTTGGAGAATATTCTTTTTCTTTGGCATATAAGTTGAACTAATTCTGCCTCTCACATTACATCTCAAGTTACAAGAAGACCAGCAATGGTGTGGAGATCATTCTCACCCTGGATACTCAGCCTTCACCATTGTTGCAGGAGGTGAATATGGACCAGACAGTGGATTGATTGGCATTATGAGATTCGATGACAGAGCACGTTTCTTTGATTAACGATTAGGGCTGCGCAAGATAATCGGTTTACCGGTATTTACCGGTTCAGACATGAAAACGATACGTATTGCGATACGCTGATCAAAAACCGGTATTTCGACTTGCATTCGGAAAAATTCGTAACACTCGGAAATCTTCGGATATTTCCTTGTTTCATTTGTGCCCATTATTATTTACATTTTTATTTTGTTGTGATTAAAGGTTGATGTTAAAGCTTAATAAAGCATAGTTAATTTGTTGTGTTTTTGCATTATAAATCAAGCATTAACTCGATTATAACTTGTTTTATGTTTAAAAATAAGTCTTGCAATATAATGCAATACATATCGCAATATATGCTTCCGCATCGCAATATTATTTGTGTTGAAAAGAAAATGGAAACAATATACTGAACATTTTTGACTGCAATACCCACCTATTAACGATGATACCAGGTGTTTTGCAAAAGTCAATTGTTAAGCATATTCTGTCCCATCAGTGGCACCTGTCATCATTTCATAGTCTGAAATTTTTCAGCCGTTTTCTTTAACATTCACATAAACGCGCGCACAAACTTGAAATTAAGAATTACTGTATATAACATGTTGTTCAGAGTGCCGACAAATTGAAGTAAGTATGCTGCTGTTTTGGCTCGATTTATTTAGTTATTGGGCTTCTTTACATCGTCAGTGATTCCCAACGATCACTGCCACAGTTGACACATAACCTCCAGTCTCAGAGAAGCTAAGTTTGACGTCGTTATTGTGTTGGTGTAGCAGGTTGTTGGGGACGTTGTACCTCAAAGACATCCCAGATTGTAGCCTCATTCCGGGCCATTGTGGGTCTGCAGGCCGTAGAAGGACGTTAAGGTGTGAGAGTTTACAACCACTGTCTTGAGTTTCTGATTGGGAGACTTCATGCTGAAACTGACACTTACCCTCAGACGAACAAAGTCAAGGTTGCCAATGTTCGGGACGTTAATGTTAACATCGACGACGGTGTTGTGAATTGGGACAACAATGTCGGTGGAGTAGTAGGTGTTCTGGGTCACAGTAGGAGCATGGGCAAAGCTGTGGGTTGTGTGGAACTGGAAGTAACAACTCGCTTCAGCAGGAACGGTTACCATGGAGTTGGAGACGTGAACTGGCTGGTTTGTAGCTAGAGCTGCTTTCTTCTGTGCATTCAGATATTCACAGGTGGACTTTCCACTTGTCGGATGGAACCAACCCTTGTCGAAAGAGAGCTTTACATGATTTGGCTTTTGGTCGTAGTTATGTAGAAGAATGGTGAGGCTGCCGTTCCGTTGATCAACTAAAACGTGAGGTACAATCTTTCTCTCGGAGTTATGGAACTGAGTGTCTACTCGCAAGTACGTCATTGTCATAGAAGTTCTTCCAGAACCACAAAGCTTGGAGCAATATCCACTCCCTTAGACTCTCTTCTAGGATGCTGTAGTTGATGCTTGCTTGCCCTTTAAGTTCAGTATATGTGAGCAAGAAAGCTACCACTTTTCTCATGACATCCCGACGTTGTAGAAAGGTGAATATCTGGGCATTGTGTTGATAAATGTACGCCCAGTCAAGAAAGGTGGATGGCTTCTGTTCATCAATTCCTGTTAATGGCCCAAGACCAAATTCACTCACAATGACATTGAACTGAGAACCTTTCTTCTTATGAGAGTAGCTCTCAACTAAATCCAGAAGACCAAAGATCTTGGCCTCAGAGTTTCTATGGAAATGATGCGTCCCTCCACTTACATCCATACTTGTGTAGGAATGAAATGAGAAAAAGAGAAAATCTAAATGGGTCAGAGCCATGTCCAAAAAATCTGTTGATTTGTTCCAAAATCTTGAAGTCTTCACGATCAAAATATGCAGAAGCTCCAGTTAATGTTGGACCTCCGATCTTCATATTGGGGTATTTTGCCTTAATTTTCTGAGCAACAGCCTGACGAAATATGATGAAGGAAGTCCAGTTCGTGTTCCGCCATTGGCTCCCTGGTTCATTGATGACTTCGAAGAACATAGGTGATTGTCCTTTGGTTCCTTTGTTGACTGCATAGACCAGCAGAAAGACGAACTCAGCAGCAGCATCGATGTTGTTTGGGAAGAATCCGTGGTGGGCAGAGGTGTCCATCCAGTGAGGCCATGTGATACCTGGATACAAACCAGGTGGGTAACAATGGCAAATATTGACGTAGTACAACTGTATTTATTTTATGACGGGTAGATTTCCGCCCTTCTGATTGGCCCACTTGGTTACATCACAGCTTTGACGCTAAGCGATGTCAACCTCGCCTCGTCCCGAGAGGTTGATTTAACAATCCAAGCACATCCCGTTGCTAAAGTAGACTTGGGATAATCCAGCTGGGAACTCCGCACTGAGTGCGTCACGCTAGATAAGGAAGCGATCGCTTCGTCCCTGTGACTGTGTTGGTTTAGAGTTACATCCCATCTGTATCAAAATGGCAGACAACATAACACCACGAAGATTCATGACTGTGTCACAGAAAAACAGGTATTCACGACTTTTGTCTTATAATAAAACAATTATTGACTTCAGTTCGGTTGATCCAATGATTTATCGACCTTGGACACGTGATATTCACCTCGGCTTCAATAATTGTATAGTAGCTCCCTCTCCCTCACTCATGAACACATTTCAGACATGAAACCTTTCATTCACACCAAGGTTAAAACTGAATTACCCTTTATTTCCATGACAACTTCAGGATTGTGATATCCATTCATATTATCCAAGTATTTGGTGCAGATTTCCTGTTGATGGGCCTGAAAGTACTTGGGGTCAGGGTAGCCCTTCTTGTTGGGGTTTTCAGATGCCTGCCATGAAATGGAATACAGTGTTAGTCATAGTTACCTCTTCACATCTAAAAACTGAATGGTCAGTGTTAGGTGGAGTCAGGGAATAGATAGCCTCATAAGTCGAGAGTATCAAGGAAGAAGTTGGCGTGGGTTCAGTTTGATAGATGTGCAGTTATTACTTCACTGGTCATCGTGTTAGGACATCGTCATAAAATGTGCATTCAGTCGACCACGCCATATCTCACAAACATTCCTCACAGAATCAATTTTCGTCATACTTCTGTAATATTGTAACAGACAGTATAAAACTCTACTGACTAACTACTAGATGCAACTGTTATGTGAATGTGCGTGCGCGTGCGTGCGTGCGTGTGAACATTTCAAACTTCAACAACAAAAATATAAAATAAATGATATTCAGTTTTGAGGTAATATTACTAGAGATCCATGCATTCCCAATGTGTTGTGAACTTCTTTCGTTATTAAAAGTTTACTTTGGACTTGTTTGACAATCAACGAGTGATGCAGGTGTTCCCGTTACAATGTTAAACTATTTATCTCATTAATGATATAAAATATCAATAGTTGTGACACCTTTCATTGAATATCCCTACTTGTTTAAAAGTACATATGAAGAGGGCATAAAGGCAAAACACATTTTGAGAAATATGCGAATAAAGTTGACATTTCTTTCAAATTATACTCCCGGCATTAGAGCGTTCACTTAGAACCCACATATCTAAAAAACCACAATGTTGATCAGTTAATTGTACAGGAAATGATAATTATATCACTACCATCTGCTATCAGATTCATCCATACGTCCTACCTTCTCAAATAGTCCCCCTGCCATATCTCTGTTCAACCATCGGGCTGCCGTCGCTCCAACCTCCGTAACATGAGCAATACTTGCCGGTGTGTCCAGTCCATTCTTACCATTCCATCGCCCATGGTTGAAATGAGTAACGGCCCCAATCTTGAGAATTTCAGGATAAATGGACACAGTGTAATCACATGTTGCGCTTGATAGAATACACACGAAAAGTGTCAACCATTTCATTTCTACTGCTTTCACGTTAACTGGTATAGCGGTGGAATCCTGTGCCAATCAGCTGACAGGACCTCTTATATACATTCGTTGGAAAGAATGTTGCTATCTTATCAGCTGCACAATCCCCATTACAAATATAGACAGTATCACATTAATAAGACGTCATGGTCGCTGTCTTGGTTGACACATGTAATGGGTTCCCAATTGCGCAGATCGATGCTCATGCTGTTGATCACTGGATTGTCTGATCCAGACGCGAGTACATACAGACCGCCGCCATATAGCCGGAATATAAAACTAATCTCAATCACTCACTCGTATAGAAATTTGAAAAGTCACTGTATGTCAAGTATGTCAAGTAATTTAAATTATTCCTACAGATAACTGTAAGCGTATAGTATAAATAAGTTGATAGAGAGATCTTCATTTTGAACACAAAAGAAACACTTGAAATATTTAACTTTTTTCGATTTGGCCTTGGTGCAAAGAAATATTCAGCCTGCAATCCTCATGAGTGTAATTTGTGAGGACATCGATGAAAACTGTGATGCCACTGGAATGAATCTTTGTACCAAAAGGCTAAAACGAAAATCGCAGACTTTATACATTTGTTTTTCGTCAATTTCATTACTAACGTCCTCATTGGTACTATAAACGGTGAGTTCTAACTTGTCCAGCAGATTTTAAGGTATAATCCCCATCTTGTTCGTTTAAGCTAGGAAGGATGTTGAGCGAATCATAGCACATCGTTGTACGGGACCGTCGCCTTGGTGCTTGGTCAACTATGTGACGGTATTGCTTATAACCCAGCTATCATATTTATACTGTCATTGATATTGTAATGCCATTGAATCCAGTGCAACTATTCTCTTGTGATCAACATATGCATGTTACTTGTGTTCATTTGTAGCGTTTAAGGGTTTAGTCCCGATTTTGACAGTCCAAATTTGGCAGTGAAATTTCACACTTCTGTAATTGATCTAGCCAGTTGTCCTAATTTGGACAGTGAGCTTACCGGTCGGCCCAATTTTGACAGTCCTCGGCTCGCACATGTTAATTAATCCCTGATTAGCCAGTGATTGTAGGAGCTACTGTAACAGAAGCTTCGGATACGACTAAAAACTAAGACTAAAACAAAAAAGACTAAAACTAAAACTGTTTATTCTTGAAAGTCAATCACTTCAAAGTGACCAATCACTGAGCAACACTGCCACAGTCAAAAGATATGACGCTATAACGCCATGTCACATGTCATGTATTCCAAACCAAGTTGGTACAAAGTGTTATAACTATTATCATCCCCAAGTGTTCATCATATTAGTGTTCAGGAAATGTTACACCTTAACGGATCAGTGACCACAACGCTTTCAAAAACGGGATACTACCACGTTTATGTAATTGGTTTTGTACACACGTTCTTGGTTTCACACTGAATTCCTTTGCGTATAGAATCTGTGGTGAACGTCTTCACCAAATAGTTCGTGACATGTTCCCTTGATTCCCCCACCAATCCACACATTCTTTATCAACGTCAGATTTGTTCTCGTCACGATATGGCTGAAACATTGCCGATTTGGCGTTAAATATTAACTCACTCCACTAATCACCATGCTCGGGTGAATTTGTATCTGAAAAGTAGGAAGACTCCTAATAAACAATATTCAAACTGGGTGCCTTGGAACTTCGCAGCATGTCAAACACAAAGAACCGTTTAAATCGTTTAAGGATAATCCTTCAATGGCGGATGTCGGTTTTCACACCCATTCACATTCTATTTGTGATTGAATATGTCCTGACGTATTAAAGCTGCTATGTTTGGTCAACTCGACCCTTAAGGAGTGACCATGCAAAATTATACATGATAAGATAATACTGACATTCTTTCTTGTAAAACTGCTGATGTCATTGTACATACCATTGTAGGAGTTACCTGGGTAGGTACTGTCTTCTCGGAGAGTCCGCCATAAAGCTGGAATATTGCTGAGTGCGGCGTAAAAATAAACTCACTCCCTCACTTCTCAGGGAGTCCATTGGTGGGTGACCGTGTTGGCGACCGTGACGGAGCTTGACTCCTGAGCGTTTCTAGGACCTAAGGCAAGTGAGTTTGTTCAAAACTACCTTTGTTCACTCAGCAGAAAATAGGTACCCGGTGTCATACATGTGACCATATTCTTTTAGAGCCTCACAAGCAGCTTGAGTTATCCAAGTGTGTGGAAACAGGGGCTTTATAAATGGCCATTATTATTATTATAACTCTGGGCTTTACGTCTTCACTATATTATATATCTATATACTATATTCAACGTTATAGGCAGATAATAACACTCACACCTTTTGTAGTGTGTATTGTCAGTTAAGTTCTAAAGGTATCTAGAGAAATTTCTGCTAAAAGCCAAGTGATCTTTATCATGAAAATTTATCTCGGGTGCATATCGATTAAATTGATTAGAAATGCTACTTTGTCAATGAATAATCCGAATCACATTGCACAAGTAGCACTAACCCTTTGAAACATACTTTCAGAGGCGATGTAAAAAAGGTTAGCTTTTTAACAGGAGCACTGTAATCAAGGATTATGTGGAATAAAAGTGATATTGATGCTACATAATTATCCATTATGGCAAAATCAGTATTTGCCAAAATTGGTTAACTTGTCCTTTAAGGCGTGACCATGCACAATTATACATGATAAAATAAGACTGAATGTTGTTGATTCCACAGTCGATTCATTGTAGGTTTTAACAAGGTGATTGTATTTGGAAGATGTGTTCTCACAAGTTATATAGTGTCATGATATTCCACGTTGGCAGCTTAGTGGGAATAGATGTGTTTGCTTTATAGATAGTGGGCGTAATATGTGTCTAAATGAGTGAGTGAGTTTTGCTTTGGGCGACAAGAGAGGACTGGAATCTTCTAAATCAGCCGGGCTAATCCTGCAGATAAATTTCTGAAAGCTATCCAAATGAGAGTATACCTTTATGCCGCTTTTAGCAATATTCGGCCAATATCACGACGGGGGACACCAGAAATAGGCTTCACATATTGTACCCATGTGGGGAATTGAGCCCGGGTCTTCGGCGTGACAAACAAACTGTTTAACCACTAGGCTACCCCATTGCCCAAAGTCTACATAAAACCCTATGTTAAGACGGATAGGGTAAGAACAATTCCCATGATATTTCTGTCGCAGCTTATGTCGTCGGAGGTCGTCGGCTTCTGCATAGCATTCGTTGTCGTCGCCCACAACTGGTTTACATTTTCGACTTCTTGAACGAATTGGTGGATTCAAATGCAATTTTGGGAGGTTTAAGTTATGATATTATATAATAAACATTGTAATATTCACCTGAATGTGAATTGATGGTCAGCTGTACTTTGGCATTAATCATAATCAAAATGTGTTTTGTCGGAACATCTTTCTAGATACGCTAGCCATTGTAAGAGGGCCATTTCACCCCATCTTTCTGACAATTTTGACCCTGGCGACACAAGGAAAACAGAAACTCTTTCGATAAAAGAAACGGTTATGATTATTGTAAGATAGATTTTCTTTAAAAGTGCATGCATTTCATGTGTTGCCGCACTCAGCAATATTCCAGCTATATGGCGGCGGTCTGTAAATAATCGAGTCTGGACCAGACAATCCAGTCATCAACAGCATGAGCATCGATCTGCGCAATTGGGAACCGATGACATGTGGCAAACAAGTCAGCAAGCCTGACCACCCGATCCGTTAGTCGCCTCTTACGACAAGCAAGGGTTACTGAAGATCAATATTCTAACCTGGATCTTCACGGGTCCATCACACTGAGATAAAGTAAAGTGCAACTTCTATGTTGTAACCGAATTTATTCAGTTATTGGGATTCAGTACACTAATCACCATCAGTGACTTCCGACGATCACTGCCACAGTTGATACATAACCCCCGGTCTCAGAGAAGCTAAGTTTGACGTCGTTATTGTGTTGGTGTAGCAGGTTGTTGGGGACGTTGTACTCAAAGACATCCCAGACTGTAGCCTCATCCGGGCCATTGTGGGTCTGCAGGCCGTAGAAGGACGTTAAGGTGTGAGAGTTTACAACCACTGTCTTGAGTTTCTGATTGGGAGACTTCATGCTGAAACTAACACTAACCCTCAGACGAACAAAGTCAAGGTTGCCAATGTTCGGGACGTTAACTTTAACATCAACGACGGTGTTGTGAATGGGGACAACCATGTCGGTGGAGTAGTAGGTATTCTGGGTCACAGTAGGAGCATGGGCAAAGTTGTGGCTTGTGTGGAACTGGAAGTAACAACTGGCTTCAGCAGGAACGGTTACCATGGAGTTGGAGACGTGAACTGGCTGGTTTGTTGCCAGCGTTCCTTTCTTCTGTGCATTCAGATATTCACAGGTGGACTTTCCACTTGTCGGATGGAACCAACCCTTGTCGAAAGAGAGCTTTACATGATTTGGCTTTTGGTCATAGTTATGTAGAAGAATGGTGAGGCTGCCGTTCCGTTGATCAACTAAAACGTGAGGTACAATCTTTCTCTCGGAGTTATGGAACTGAGTGTCTACTCGCAAGTACGTCATTGTGTCATAGAAGTTCTTCCAGAACCTGAAAGCTTGGGCAATGTCCCTCTCTTTGTGGGTCTTGTCCAGAATGCTATAGTTAATACTTGCTTGCCCTTTACGATCAGTATATGTGAGCAAGAAAGCTACCACTTTTCTCATGACATCCCGTCGCTGTAGAAAAGGTGAATATCTGGGCATTGTGTTGATAAATGTATGCCCAGTCAACAAGGGTGGATGGTTTCTGTTCATCAATTCCTGTTAATGGCCCAAGACCAAATTCACTCACAATGACATTGAACTGAGAACCTTTCTTCTTATGAGAGTAGCTCTCAACTAGATCCAGAAGACCAAATATCTTGGCCTCAGAGTTTCTATGGAAATGATGCGTCCCTCCACTTACATCCATAGTTGTGTAGGAATGAAATGAGAAAAAATCTAAATGGGTCAGAGCCATGTCCAAAAAATCTGCTGATTTGTTCCAAATCTTGAAGTCTTCACGATCAAAATATGCAGAAGCTCCAGTTAATGTTGGACCTCCGATTTTCATATGGGGGTATTTTGCCTTAATTTTCTGAGCAACAGCCTGATGAAATATGATAAAGGTTGTCCAGTTCGTGTTCCGCCATTGGCTCCCTGGTTCATTTATGACTTCAAAGAACATAGGTGATTGTCCTTTGGTTCCTTTGTTGACTGCATCGACCAGCAGGAAGACGAACTCAGCAGCAGCATCGATGTTGTTTGGGAAGAATCCGTGGTGGTCAGAGGTGTCCATCCAGTGAGGCCAAGTGATACCTGGATACAAACCAGGTGGGTAACAATGGCAAATATTGACGTAGTACAACTGTATTTATTATATGACAGGTAGATTTCCGCCCTTCTGATTGGCCCACTTGGTTACATCACAGCTTTGACGCTAAGCGATGTCAACCTCGTCACGTTACGAGAAGGTTGATTTAACAATCGAAGCACCTCCCGTGCCTAAAATAGAGTTGGGATATTCCAGCTGTGAACTCCGCACTGCGTGCATTATGTAGATAAGGAAGCGAGAGGCATCGCTTCGTCCCTGTGACTGTGTTGGTTTAGAGTTACATCCCGTCTGTATCAAAATGGCAGACAACGTAACACCACGAAGATTCATGACTGTGTCACAGAAAAACAGGTATTCAGTACTTTCGTCTTATAATAAAACAATTATTGACTTCAGTTCGGTTGATCCAATGATTTATCGACCTTGGACGTGTGATATTCACCTCGGCTTCGCCTCTCATCAACCTCACTAGAAGTCAATAATTGTATAGTAGTCCCCTCTGCCTCTCAATTTCCCTCTCCCTCTCCCTCTCCCTCTCCCTCTCCCTCTCCCTCTCTCATGAACACATTTCAGACATGAAACCTTTCATTCACACCAAGGTTAAAACTGAATTACCCTTTATTTCCATGACAACTTCAGGATTGTGATATCCATTCATATTATCCAAGTATTTGGTGCAGATTTCCTGTTGATGGGCCTGAAAGTACTTGGGGTCAGGGTAGCCCTTCTTGTTGGGGTTTTCAGATGCCTGCCATGAAATGGAATACAGTGTTAGTCATAGTTACCTCTTCACATCTGAACCAGAATCTGAACCTACTCTCTGTGCTTCTGTTCAAACTGCAAACTTTTGGAAGGAAATCCTTTGCCTGCTCTGCCCCTCTACTCTGGAACTCTCTCCCTATCACCATTAAATTAGCAGTTGACTTTCATTCCTTCAAACGACTGCTCAAGACTCATCTCTTTTCACTGCATTATGACTAGCTACTAGTCCCTCATTGTATATATGTATATTATCCACACACTTTGTTAGCGCTTTGAGCATGGGCCTTGTGCATGGAAAAGGCGCATTATAAGTTCACATTTATTATTATTATTATATATTCACATCTAAAAACGACTTGTAATAATATGTCTTTGCTGAATGTTCAGTGTTAGGTGGAGTCAAGAAAATAGATAGCCTCATAACTCGAGAGTATAAAGGAAGAAGTTGGCGTGGGTTCAGTTCGATAGATGTGCAATTATTACTTCACTGGTCATCATGTTAGGACGTCGTCATAAAATGTGCATTCAGTCGACCACGCCATATCCTGTGCGAGGACAAACATTCCTCACAGAATCAATTTCGTCATAATCCTGTAATATTGTAACAGGCAGTATAAAACTCTACTGACTAACTACTAGATGCAACTGTTATGTGAATGTGCGTGCGTGCGTGCACGCGAAATGTGAACATTTCAAACTTCAACAACTAAAATATGAAATAAATGATATTCAGTTTTGAGGTAATATTACTTGAGATCCATGGTGTATGGTTGTATATGGATTTAGAATATATTTATTGCATTCCCAACGTGTTGTGAACTTCTTTCGTTTTCAAAAGTTTACTTTGGACTTGTTTTACAATCAACGACTGATGCAAATCTAAGTCAGATGTTCCCGTTACACTGTTAAACTATTTATCTCATTAATGATATAAAATATCAATAGTTGTGACACCTTTCATTGAATATCCCTACTTGTTTAAAAGTATATATGAAGAAGACATAACACGTTTTGAGAAATATGCGAATAAAGTTGACATTTGTTTCAAATTATACTCCCTGCAGTAGAGCGTTCACTTAGAACCCACATATCTAAAACCTCAATGTTGATCAGTTAAATGTACACAAATGATAATTATATCACTACCATCTGCTATCAGATACATCCATACCGCTACCATGTGCTTATCCAGTACATCAATGTCCTACCTTCTCAAATAGTCCCCCTGCCATATCTCTGTTCAACCATCGAGCTGCCGTCGCTCCAACCTCCTTAACATGAGCAATACTTGCCGGCGAATCCAGTCCATTCTTACCATTCCATCGCCCGTGGTTGAAATGAGTAACGGCCCCAATCTTGAGAATTTCAGGATAAATGGACACTGTGTAATCACATGTTACACTTGATAGTAGACACACGAACAGTGCCAACCATTCCATCTCCACTGCTTTTACGTTAGGTATTAACTCCGTGCTAATCAGCTAATAGGACCTCTTATATACTTTCTTTTGAAAGAATGTTGCTATCTTATCAGCTGCACAATCCCCATTACAAATATAGACACTATTACACTAATAAGACACTAATGGAAGACGTATATATGTGATGTGATTTAGATTAAAACAACAAATAATTGTAAGTGTATTGTATAAATACGTTTATAGAGAAATGTACATTTTATACCCAAAAGAATCACTTGAAGTACATATATATAAAATTTTCAATTTGGCTTCTGTGCAAACAGATTCTACATAAATTCCTCATTAATCAAAGTCATACTGCTGAAACAGTGTTTTTTTCGGATATATAGTCCGTTTGGGTTCAAATGAGAACGACAAATGATTAAATAACTCGAAATTGGGATAAGTGCACAAAACATAAATAAGGCACATAGTCCTGAAACGTCTGTACCCAACAGGATCCTAAATCTGACTTTTTTTCGCGATCGTGCGTGCGTGCGTGCGTGCGTGTGTATGTGTGAAGCAATCTTTCTAGATACCTTAACCATTGTGACAAGGTCATTGTACCTCACCTTTTCGAGAATTGTGACCCTGGGAAACTCTTTTGATAAAAATGAGGTTTATGATTATTGTTAGATCAATTTTTAATTCATACATTTGATTGTTGTTGAGAGGCAGATGGACATGAACTGAACTGAACTGTTATTAATAGCCCTTTCTTATCAGTTACATAGATTTCAATAATGGCAAATTTTACAATTTCAACATATCTGTAAACATACAGATGTTTTTGTTTTATTTTACATGGACCTAATGAAGTAACAAATTTCAAGTACAAGTTTTAATGGTTTGGTGAGATTTATATCACATTCCATCACATTGAAATAAAGTAAAGTGCAACTTCTATGTTGTAACCGAATTTATTCAGTTATTGGGATTCTGTACATTAATCACCATCAGTGACTTCCAACGATCACTGCCACAGTTGATACATAACCCCCAGTCTCAGAGAGAAGCTAAGTTTGACGTCGTTGTTGTGTTGGTGTACAACGTTGTTGGGGACGTTGTACTCAAAGACCTCCCATACAGTGTCTTCACAGAGCCACTGTGAGTCTGCAGAAGAATAGAAGGACGTCAAGGAGTGACCGTTCACAACCACCGTCTTGAGTTTCTGATGGGGAGATTTTATGCTGAAACTGACACCAACTCTCAGACGAACAAAGTCAAGGTTGCCAATGTTCGGGACGTTAACTTTAACATCGACGACGGTGTTGTGAATGGGACAACCATGTCGGTGGAGTAGTACGTTTTCTGGGTCACAGTAGGAGCATGGGCAAGTTGTGGCTTACAGTGTGTGGAACTGGAAGTAACAACTCGCTTCAGCAGGAACGGTTACCATAGAGTTGGAGACGTGAACTGGCTGGTTTGTAGCTAGAGTTGCTTTCTTCTGTGCATTCAGATATTCACAGGTGGACTTTCCACTTGTCGGATGGAACCAACCCTTGTCGAAGAGCTTTACATGACTTGGCTTTTGGTCATAGTTATGTAGAAGAATGGTTAGGCCGCCGTTTCGTTTGATCAACTAAAACGTGAGGTACAATCTTTCTCTCAGGTTGTGGAACTGACTGTCTACTCGTAAGTATGTCATTGTATCATAGAAGTTCTTCCAGAACCTGAAAGCTTGGGCAATGTCCCTCTCTTTGTGGGTCTTGTCCAGAATGCTATGAGTTAATACTTGCCCTTTTAAGGTCAGTATATGTGAGCAGAAGCTACGGCTTTTTCTCATGACATCCGACGTTGTAGAAAGGTGAATATCTGGGCATTGTGTTGGTAAATGTATGCCCAGTCAAGAAAGGTGGATGGCTTCTGTACATCAAGTCCTGATACTGGACCGAGACCAAATTCACTGACTATAATATCCAACAACTTATTTTTCTTCTTATGAGTAGCTCTCAACTAGATCCAGAAGTCCAAAAGCTTAGCTTCGGAACTCCCATGGAAATGGTGTGAGCCTCCACTTACATCCATACTTGTGTAGGAATGAAATGAGAAAAAATCTAAATTGTTGAGACCCATATCAAAAAAGTCTGCATACTGTTTCCAATTCCTAAAGTCATTACGATCAAACAAAATGGAAGCCCCAGTTAACGTTGGACCTCCAACCCTCATATGGGGATATTTTGCCTTAATTTTCGAGAGCAACAGCCTGATGAAATTTGATAAAGGTATTCCAGTCCGTGTTCTTCCATTGACTTTCTGGTTCATTGATGACTTCGAAGAACATAGGTGCTTGTCCTTTGGTTCCTTTGTTGACTGCATCGACCAGCAGGAAGACGAACTCAGCTGCAGCATCGATGTTGTTCAGGAAGAATCCGTGGTGGGCAGAGGTGTCCATCCAGTGAGGCCAATACACACCTGAATATGTATTATCAAACCTATGAATTAGAGTGAGCAGGGTCTAACTCCACTTTCAACAGTTGATTAAATTGTCATATTTCAACAGGCAATACATTCAATACTCAACATCCAGCGAGTATCACCGTAATAACAGATGAGAAAAGGGTTATAGAATTGCTGAGAATACGTAGATTAAAAAGTACACAACCGCTCGTTATATACACATGGAACTTAATTAAGCAACCCCTAATGTATTTCATCATAGTGATGTACCTATCGACGATGATAATATGTCGATGATGCCACTGTTTAGTAGCACACTTCAGGCAATGAAAACAAGGTTTCAGTTTGAAAGGGTTTGCCAAAACGCAGCACACCTTGTGAAGCATACTGTCCAGTCACATCGTGAAAAGCGGCATCTCTGCCTGGTCGTTCAAGTGTATAAAACCTTTGATATGATAGGGCTGTGTATTGGCAAATAGATTCAGGTACCCGTATTGCGATACGTATTGCGACTTATTCGAAATTAAGTGTTAGACAGTAAGTGACACTAATTGTACATGCCTATCCTATTTTCTACATTATAACAGTCTAAGTAAACTTACCGAAGTAAACTTAGACTCAGTATTATTCGTTACAATGCTATTCTGAGTCTCACAGAACCTAGTAGAAGGTCGCGTTAGGTAACCTTTCAATTGACCAATCAGAACACAGCTTACCAAATCGCGAACTTTGAACCTTTTACCTCGAAAAGTTTGTACCCGAACGATTCCGAATGCTATTTTCCGTACGATCGGTTCGTAGTGATGCACGCCACAGCAGTAGGTAAACATTCGCTGAAAATAGCATTTGTCAGTATTCAAGCATGTCAACTTGAGGAAATATTAGCTTATGATAACCATGTCAACAGGAACCCCAAAGCGCATATACTGCAGGTCAAATATATGTGTTTTATGCGGATTTTCGTTTGTTGGGAGATCAGTGTTGGCGACCGGGGACGGGAAAATCCATTTTGTAAGTCTCGCCGAACCCTAAATAGTAGCCGTTGGCTGATTGGTTAAATCCGTTCGGCCGTCTCGCCTTTGATTGGATGGTCATAGGTCCAACAAAGGTTACCTGACGCGACCTTCCACAAGGTTTTGTTAGACTCAATATAGCAGTGTAACAAATAATACTGAATCTAAGTTTACTTAGACTGTACATGATAAGTCCCTATAAAAATATATGTTATGGTTCTGAAAAAAAATATTGTAATACATATCTTCTGAAAAGCGTATTACGGTATACCGGTAAACCGGTAATACCGGTAGTGCTAGAACATGCCATCTGTTTCATCCATACACAAGTGAACACATTCGTTGACATAGATGTCAGCTTGGTTCTGGTTACTGCCATTCTGTCGTCCGAAGACCTATCCGGAAACACCAACTCACATCGGTATATTTAAAGAGGCCTACACAGACAGCAAAATCCGGCACTATGTCAGCATGAGTGGTGCCAGGACAATGCAAATCAACAGTGTTGGCATTTCTCACGTACAGAGCATACAAATTAACATATACATATTTCCGACTACAGAAGATTATAGTTTGGCATGAAATGCCTTTTACCTTTATGACCCAACACTGCCGCTGTTACAGGTCATTTGGCTCCCTACCTCTGCAAGCAGTCTGCGGTCTGCTGTTTATTTTGTTGACAGTTACATAGACAGATTCTTTAATACAAATGCATAAAATCGGCGATTTACAATGTGATTAGGTTGTCTGACAAAACATCCACTTGCACAGTTTGAGATCGATTGGGTCATTGGATGAAGAGATATTTACAAAAAAACGGGTCCACATGCATTTCATGCCAAACTATAGTATGGCAGGGGTATGTAATCTCAAGAGACATTCCTCCACCCATTTATTCATTTGGGTGTAAATGTTGAAATACCTTTTATTTCCATGACCATTTCAGGGTTTCCGTATCCATTCATAACGTTTAAGTAATTGCTGCTGATCTTATTTTGATTCGCCTCGAAGTACTTCGGGTCAGGATAGCCCTTCTTGTGGGGGTCCTCAGGTGCCTGCCATGAAACGTGATAGAAGGTTAAATAGTCATTAAGTTTGGTAATCTAATGAACTTTGGGATAAGCCATTAAATGAAAGGGTGCAGGAGTGACGCTGACCCTGACACAGCAATTCAAAATGCAGAAATACGTCCCTTGACTGACTGACTGACTGAGTTTAGTTTAACGCCGCTTTTAGCAATATTCCAGCAATATCACGGCGGGGGACACCAGAAATGGGCTTAACACATTGTGCCCATGTGGGGAATCGAACCCGGGTCTTCGGCGTGACGAGCCAATGCTTTAACCACTATGCTACCCCACCGCCCTACGTCCCTTGAGCATGCCAGAAACCTATGGTAACAATCCCTATTCGTCTCTTTCGGGTTTCTGGACATGTGAACAACATAACCTGATCGTAGGTATCATCAAAGTCTAAAGTCTAAAACATTCCTCCCATATCAAGCAGTCACGCTGTGATGTAAGTGGTACATTCTTCCATGTGCATTTGTGGCATTTGTCCCTAGATGTTCCTTCGCTGTCTTTCTATAAGTCCCATAAATCTCTGTTGACCTGTGAAAAATATTTATCATTGAACATAAGTAATAAGTGCAAGCGTCTGTTCACATTATTTAGATCAGGGTGTAATGCACTAGGTATCAAATATATTAGAATAGGTACTGCCTCCTGCAATGATGATATGTAAACACTGTAAAAGTATTGAGGATGAAATCCATATTGTCTATATTTGTAAACGCTATGAGGATATGCGTCGGCGTTACATTCCGAAAACGGTCCATGGATATTATTATTCACTCCGCAGCATATGCACATCATCCGACAATAACATCATAAATAATTTTGTCAAGTTCTTAGAACATGTTTATTCTGCTCCTGTTAGCGTTGTTGTATGAAAATGGTAACCAAAATCACCATTGTACCACCTTGTACGATGGGTCGTATGGCATTTATACAAAATAAACCCTTCTTCTTCTTCTTCTTCTTCTTCTTCTTCCATGCGGCTTTAAATACAACGCACTCACTCACTCTTTTAAGGGAAGACAATTAACAATTCTCATTAAAGTTTCAGAAACAATATAATGTGTCTTACCTTCTCAAATAACCCATTTCCCAAATCTCTGTTCAACCATCTGGCTGCGGTTGCGCCAACTCCCTTGACAAGAGGAATAGTTGTTGAGCTGTCCAGTCCATTCTTACCATTCCATCGCCCGTGGTTGAAATGAGTATGCGGCCCCAATCTTGAGAATTTCAGGATAAATGGACACGGTGTAATCACACCTTGCAGTTGATAGAATACACACGAAAAGTGTAAGATATTTCATCTCTGCTGCTATCACGATAGATATATCAACAAACAAGAGAATCAGTGACAATCAGCTAACAAGGCTGTATCTTATATACATATATAGGAAAGAATGTTGCTATCTTATCGGTTGCACAATCCCAATTCCACTGTAAATATAGACTTTGAAACCTTAAAATATACCCGAGTGAGATTAAAAGCTGGTTCTATTTGAATCTAAAAAGATATATTTTATGAGAAATACTAGTTTAATGAGATTATATCAGCTTTTTATTGTACAACTAGGACCCCAAAGGAATACTAGTAATTTTGAGGTGAGGTAGGTGAGGTGAGGTGAGGTGAGGTGAGGTGAAATTAGGTTTAACGTCGGTGCTTGAGAATATTTCGCTCATATGACGACGTGCATGCGTGTGTATATGTACATATGTGCGGCTGCTTGTACTAGCCCAGACTTAAGCTGGTTTTATAGTGCTAGCCCACTGGAGATACCATGCCGCAGTGAAGCATGAATACCCCCACTCAGACACATTATACTGACTCCGAGCCGACCAGTCCTTGTTGTACCCATTAATGCCGAGTGCCAGGCAGGGACCAACAAGTACCATATTTTAACGTCTTTTGGTATGATGCGGCCGGGGAAATTAATTTTGAAGTATTATCAACAATGATTAGAATACCTTTTCAAGAAACTTGTTTCTGATCCTCAGGTTTAACTGAATAAAATTAATCAAAATCCATTGAGTTGTGTTTTCTTACGTCCACATTGTCTTCCCATGCGCTATCCGAAGGAGTTGACTCCCCGGTAAGCACGGGACACTTCATTAATTTTCTAATGGACATTTAGTGAAATGTACTCTGGGAATCCGGTGAAGGAAGGGGCAGGCCTTTAAATCAAGTGTTAGAAGTAGTATTCTAAAACCTATTATCACTGTTGATAATACTTCCCTCTGACACTTGATTTAAAAGGCCTGCCCATCCTTGATAGTCGAATCCACAGCCGAGTTTCCCGGACTAGACTAGGAAGACAAGCATATATCTTACAAATCAAATTTGATAAGACAAATAGACTGGCGTTTGCTTGTTTTGACAACTCTCAAGTCTCATGCAGCTGTACTTAATGACTTGGTGGACTATGATGCAATTCTTGGTTAATGATCACTCAGATGATGACACAGTGAGTTCGGATGACGTCACGATGACATCACTCCCGGTCCGTATCTCGTCCATTCCAAAGAGGAACAAGTGTTATTTCTGATTGGATATGACTCTCTTCGCATTTTAGTCGTAGTCTACCATTTGAGGTGTTAGATTCTGATTCCCAACTGCTGGAATCGACGACACTTGTAGTCATAGAGACCAGATGTCAAAGGTTTAAGTGATTGAGAAACGGTTAAGGAAACCCCTTTTGAAAATCCGTCTGACATTTAGATATCATTGGATAGTTCTCACACGTGTATAGTCCGTTTGGCTCAAAAGCGGACCGATGAATTGCAATCTAACTCGAAAACTAATAACATATAATACTCAATGAAACGCTGATCATAACCAAAACATCAGACCAACTCTGTGATTTGTTTGCAGAATTTATGTCCTAAAAAATCTTTTTTTAAAAACTATCATTAAAATATTGACACAGTTCTCTATCTGTTACGAGGAGAGTGCAAAGAAAGGGACATCCAGGTGTGCGAAAAGGATGGAGACGGCACAGCACAGGTTAATGGGTCTGTTATCATCGTAAAGAGCCACGGAATTATGGCTATTCTAACTGGTAAGACCAAGAAATGGAACAGTCTTCCTTAACAGCAATGCGTAGATATTTCTGAGAGTCTGTGTTATATGCATAGCTAAGCATCCTGCAGATCTATGGAGACCATGTGGTCCTGTATGGAGATCGACTGTCTCAGGTCCCACATAGACTTCATCCAGAAACTTTGGTGGTCGTCTCAGGTAGTCCTGGTTGAGGATCTTCAAGTGGATCTCTGTTGTACCAGAGAGAAGAACCAGAGTCCTGGATCTGCTGGGTTTAGTTCGATGACAGCTTCCTTGTCCATGAGTTTGTAAATCGCTGTCATCACCTCTGGAACGTCAATTCAACTTGGTGTTACGTTTTCCTTGCCCATAAGGACTTGCAATCTCCAGTTTAACTGAGGATGGATCATCAGCTGCATCATTCTCAGCATCTTCCTGACGCCAAAGATAAACCAGTAGTTAAAATCTTGGATATACGTATGAAATTTCTGATTATCTACTCCTGCATGGAAAGAATGCCAATTACGTCAGCATGTATGACCCATTGCTTAGGTGTTGGCGAGATTCCACTGACCTAGCCTGCAAAGTTCATTTCAACCTTTCTGACTCCAGTTCTGTCTTTCTTTCTCAAACAGGATCCAGCCACCTTCCAACGTCTCATCAGGGACAAAACAGGCAGGCATCACAGTACATCACTCATAAGGGCATCGGTAACTTCTTGGAGAGATTCTTGTGCCAAGCTGACATGCGCAGTGTGGAAAATTTCAAATGTGTAACAATTCTTATCATATTAGTTGGTAAAAGACACAACCAAGCCCTTATGCCTATAATGACTGCACTTGAATTTGAAAACATAGATTCCTCTTGTATGATTTTGTAGATGTATTATTACGTATGCATTTACTTTACCAGGTTCAAACATCATGACTTTGGCTAACTGCCATTAATTCAGTTTAGTGTACAAACACCAAACCTATCATCAGACTAAGGTGTGACCAGAAATATAAACTGTGTACCACAAATAAGAGCTGGTGTAAAATTGTTGTAGTTTTTCTGACTGCAGCATTCAAGAACGCTATAATACATAAGAACTGCCATGGAAATGGTGTGAGCCTCCACTTGCATCCATACTTGTTGCAGGATGTAAGTCTAAATATCTAAATGGTTAGAACTATGTCCAAAGGTCTGCACACCGTTTCCAATTTCTAAAGTAATAAAGGTCAAACAAATTGAAATAAAACTTATGCATCTCAATTAAGAGCTAGTGTAATATGGTTGTTGTTCTTCTGACTGCTGCATTCAAGAACGTTACGATACAGTGAGTGAGTGAGTGAGTATGGTTTTACACCGCTTTCAGCAATATTCCAACAATATCACGGCGTTAGGGGACACCAGAAATGGGCGTCACACATTGTACCCATGTAAGGGAATCGAACCCGGGTTGCTTCGGGTCTAAGCAAACGCTTTAACCACTAGGCTACCCCTCCCCCTTACGATACACAGAACATAGGTACATAAGGTATTAAACAGTAAACGAAGGATATTTAGAACATTCCATGCCCATGTGCATGACTTATTGTCATTCCAACGGTGAACATGTCATGCTTGTGTGCATGGTGTATTCCTGCACCTTTTAATGACGGTCTGTTAAGAAGGGGTGGACAAGGCAATCCACTGAATCATATTATGAGGCATTGTATATTGACACACCATAAACAGTGCCACAGAGCCTGAGTACCCAACAGATTTGGCCTCTTACGACCACCATATTTTTGCTGGGGGAACTTCAGATGTGGAATCCCTTATTCGGTGCCAAACATATAAAAAACTATGTCAGGACAAGAAATATTTAAGAAAAGTTCCAATGCGGGATCTACATAATGATATCTTTGTTCTCCTTGGCTGTAATATGCATGTTCAAGCCTGTATGGACTTCATCAAAGAGGTAAAATGAATAAGACTCATTCAATCCTTAAAGCTTAGATGCAACCAAAAGCATAAAACATAGTTAAAACACAATTATCATTTATTCATGACATATAAAATACATTGCTGATTATGAAAAAAAAAAAATAAAAACAAAATTATAAGCGTGCAATCACGCAAATCAAAAGTGCAATATTTGGTACTAGGGTTTACTTCACTCGAAACGAAGCACCCAGGATACCCGAATCCAGTCAGAGCTGGGTGGCGTGCACTTAAGTGTAATGAAGTCTTTCATTATCTAGGTTCCTTTGCCGATACACTCAGGGCTCTTTAGTGTGTATAAAAATGTTGGGTTTGTAAATACATGCTTATTTTTGTGTATAACATTTTGCAATCAACAAACATCATAAAGATGTCATGTGTACAATTATCACACTTGCCTGTCTGTGTAATTACATAATGCGACAGAGACAGAACTCAGGTGCACGAGCCATAAATCAATGCGTTTTTATGGCGAAAGCCTGATAGGTGTCGAATTCAAATTGCCTGTGGTTAGTGATGGAAGTTGTATATTGTATATTATCATTAGCAGATAGGCAGTAAGTAGACACCCAGGTGTCAATAAAACAGACATTGAGTTTATGGTTCGTGACAGAGGCATATCTATATCACAGTTAGAAATTTGACAACGCTAAATAATGACATGTGCTTTAAGTATCGAAAGTGACTCGGTAAGAAGAACGTGTGGTGAAATAGTCAAATGAGACTATATATACACAGTTAAATCGGTAATCCTATTGTCATAACATATAAAAGCTCGCGCCTGTGAATAAATAACAATTACGATTTCAAGAAAATAGCCACTACTCAACAGAAGTGAAGGTTTTCCGATAGCTTAGATATCGAACCACCCACTGTTCGACATACAGCAGAAAACGTCCTAGATCCTTAACATGCGTTCCTTTACGTATCAAGTTAGATTGTTTACTATTTGTTGTTTGTGTACAATAACTAAGATTAGACTACTGCTGCTCACTGACTTTATAATTCAAGGCATCCCGCTTTAAGCTGGAAGGAACTCTATCCACTGCGCATGCAATTCATAAGCGCAGCACAGAACAGCCGTTGAAATTCAATTTCTTTTCACCCTATTAGGGTGAATTTAGTGAATCTTTTGAACATCCGATTTCGCGCTTGGCGAAGTGTTTCATCATGCGTTTTTGTATGTTTAATAAATTGTTACTGTAAGTCCATACCGAACGGTATCATCAGAATCTGCAAAATTGTGTTTTGCGTTGTACGCTGACCATCAAAGAAGATCAAGACTGCATGACCAATTCCTATGCATCTGGGTATTTTGCACTCACTTTAAGTGAATTGGTTTTTTAATGAATTAGAACAAGTCTTGGCACTGGCATTAATATCAATATCAGCTTTCAGGTGCACAGTGCCATCTATAGGTAAAAATCCATTCAACACCTTCAACACTCCATAACCAATGTCGTACATGCATCTAGATGTACTTAGTTACATATAATACGCATTTCATGAATTGGCGATAAATTTAGTACAAATATTAAGTTTTTTATAATATTAAGATTTATTCAATCAGTTAGATTCCTTACATGAATAACCGCCAGTGACTTCCAACGATCACCGCTACAGTTGGATACATAACCTCAGACTCAGCGAAGCTCAGCTCTGACGTCATTGTTGTGATTGGAATTGTAGCAGAGTTGTTGGTAGAACGTTGTGACTCAAAGACCTCCCAGACGAAGTAGCCCCATCCGGGCCATTGTGGGTCAGAAGACCGAAGGAGTATCATGAGTGACCGTTCACAATCACCGTCTTTAGTTTCTGATGGGGAACTTCATACTGGAAACTGATACTTATCTCAGACGACACAAGTCAAAGGTTGCCAATGTTCCGGGACGTTTACTTTAACATCGACGACGGTGTTATGAATTGGGACAAACTATGCCGGTTGGAGTGAAGTAGGTGTTCCTAACGTCAGCAGTAGAGACATGGGCAAAGTTGTGGGTTGTGTGGAACTGGTAGCGCAATAAACTCGCTTCCAGCAGGAACGGTTACCATGGAGTTGGAGACGTGGAACTGGCTGGTCGGTAGCCAGAGTTGCTTTCTTCTGTGCATTCAGATATTATTGCTATAGGTGGATCTTCCACTTCTGTCGGATGGAACCAACCCTGAAAGAGAGCCTTTACATGACTTGGCTTTTGGTCGTTCGTTATGTAGAAGAATGGCGAGAGCTGCCGCTCCGCTGACTGTAACTAAAACGTGAGGTACAATCTTTCTCTCGGAGTTATGGAACTGACTGTCTACCTTCCGCAGAGTATGTCATTGTGTCATAGAAGTCTCTTCCAGAACCTGGTGTTTTACAATATCCCTCTCCTTGTGGGTCTTGGTCTAGGATGCTGTAGCTGATGCTTGCTTGCCCTTTAAGTTCAGCAAGTATATGTGAGCAAAGAAAGCCACCACTTTTCTCATGACATCCTGACGTTGTAAAAGGTGAATATCTGGGCATTGTGCTGATAAATATATGCCCAGTCAAGAAGAAGAAGATGGATGGTTTCTGTACATTGGGTTCCTGATATCACTTCCAAGACCAAATTCACCGACAACGATATCTAAGAATTTATTTTTCTTCTTCAGAGAGTAGTTTTCCTAGAATTGCAATGTACAAGTCCGAAGAGCTTAGCTTCCGAGCCCTATATTGAAATGGTGCGAGTCTCCATTTACGACCAAACTCTGCATAGGAAAC